CAGATTTGATATGACTGTGTGAACCCTCTTTTGAAGTAAATGATGAATATAAAATGGGATTAAGTAGCATAGTTACAGCATTACTTGCCAGCTTTACATCTATTTATGAGTGTTTGATACTGGGAAAGCCATTAAGATTCATTCTGGGAGGCCGGGCGGTGGTGGCGCACGCCTTTAATCCCAGCACTCGGGAGGCAGAGGCAGGCAGATCTCTGTGAGTTCGAGACCAGCCTGGTCTACAGAGCTAGTTCCAGGACAGGCTCCAAAACCACAGAGAAACCCTGTCTCGAAAAACCAAAAAAAAAAAAAAATTCATTCTGGGTACCTTTAGTGAGTCTGTGCACCCAACAATGAACATCCACACAGCAATGAATGTGGGAGGAAATTGGTATATTCTATGCAGACACAGCTCTTTCTAATCTTTGCACTGTGTGTGTTTAATTATTTATCTTGCAATAAGTTCATTTGTCAGTCTTTGCATTTAAGTCCTATTTTTTCAAGATGGGTATGAAGCTTTCAAGATGGGTATGACAGGTTGCCTTAAGTTTCAATATATAGAGACAGAGTGACATTTTGGCTTTTATGTTTTTACTTGAGTGCTCAAATAAGCATCTGGGCACCCTAAAATGGATATTGTATTAAAGATGATAGATTTGGAAAACTACTACTGATCATAGGTTTTCAATGAAAATCTTGATACCCTTGAGGGAGGCAGTTAGTTAGAAATTCCAACTGCCTATCCTTTAGATTTTTCTTAGCAGGCTTCTGTACTTAGTAGCAGCTGATTGGCTGTTACCAAAATTAAGTGGGCTGTTAAGGCAGTCAACTGTAAAACTCAGCTAAGGCAGTCAACTAACTGTGAAACCTCAGTTCTTGATAGCTGGGTCTTTAATCTGTACAGAGAAACAAGACTAAAATGTAAACAACAACAACAACAGATCGAAAGAAAGGACAAGAGACAAATACAATTAAAGGTAATTATAGTAATGAATATTAAAATAAGCTTCCTACTATAATATTAATGGATGTAATCACTTTTCTATAACAGTGGAATAGCTACATGTGAGTCAGGTGGGGAAGAGATGGGCTTCTTCTTTGGTTTACAATGTTTGTTGCCACAGAAGAAAAACACCCAAATACATTGTCTTAGACAGTTACATAAATTCAGTTCTTAATACTACATCTTCGGTCTATAGTGTAGACACCACACAGCAGAAACATGAGTAAAATATAAAAAGAAAAGGTAACCAGGGAGGAATTAGAGGTAATTATAATAATGAATATTAAAACAAGCTCTCTGCTAAACTATTAATTTGATGTAATCACTTTTCTATGGCGATGGAATAGCTACAAATAAACTGAGTGGGGAGGAAGCAGGGTTCTTCTTTGATACAATTTGCAGTGTTTGGTCCCAGAGAAGAGGAAAACTCAAACTGTGTGGTTTGTCATAGACAGTTCTATAAAACCCATAATAATCAAAGGCATGGCTAACTAGAGCTGTTCAACTGTTGTCAGTTTAACTGTTAAATGAGTTGGAAAAAAGTAAAAAACATTGCCATTTACCGTTATGTAGCTTCCAAGTTTGAATCTAACCAGTGAAAAAGATAGCGTAATTGTCTGATAAGATGAAACATATGAATTTTATAAACTGAAATTTATGTAACAGAAGAAAGAGGTTGTAAAGTTAATCAAATACTTCTCTGTAAAGAAGCTGCCAGATATAGTAAGTACAGACAGTGTAGAATAGCTGCAGTACTAATCTTACAGAATAAAAAGTGAACTTAGAGAAACAACTTACTGGAAAAAAATTCAATTGTTCAAGATTAACTCAAGCTAAAATCTCTCTAGAATATGAAGTGCCTGTTGCAAAAAGGGAATATCAGCGTAGGGAAAATTTTTATATTGAAGGAAAAATGAGTTAAAAATATGTGTCACCCAGTTTAGTGATAGGTCAAATGCAATCATTTCTGATATACTTGATTTTTTTTTACTTTATGGCATCTTTGTGTGTTGACTAAATATGTTTGAAGATCTTGGTCCTAAGCTCATCTGTCACTAGGTAGTAATGACCTTGAAACATGCTACTATTAGTTATTGTTTTATTAGTGATAAAATGCCACTACCAAAACAACTAACTTATAGAAGAACAAGTGTATTTGGGCTTCTGGTTCCAGAGGATTAGACTCTATGATGGCAGAGCAAAGGCATGGGGCAAGAGTAGGAAGCTGAGGGCTCACATCTTGAACTGCAAGTATAAAAGATAAAAGAGATTGAACTCTCAAAGCCTGTCTTGAGTGACATACTTCCTCCAACAAGGTGACACCTCCTAAACCTCCTAAACAGTGCCATCAATTGAGGACCAAGCGTTCAAGTGTCTGAGACTATAAGGGACAAATTATTCAAACCACCACAAACCCTGAAGTGCATTCTGTCACTATACTAAGAGAATAAGCAGTAAGACTGAATCCTGAAATAAGGAGTATGCAGTCAGTAGCAGAGCCATGGGGAACCTGAGGTGTATCTCCCTTGAATCAACTCTCTCAGTCTCTTTCCTCCCTGAGTGTTTAAAGTTTTTCACAGTAAGTTCTTAGTTCATCTGTCAAAGATCAACCATAGCCTAATCAAATAAAATTAAATTCACAATTTTATGCCTACTTAATAAAAGGAATTAGAGCAATATTGAGGATAACAATAATGTAGGTAAATCAAATTGGAGACCTAGTGTATAATGCATTTCTATTAAACTAATGAGAAAAGCTTATGGGTTCTAATGGTGTTATATCATTTAATTTGAATGTTTAGGTAAATAATACAAAATCTGGATATCAAGCACTATGCTATGGCTTTATCAGGCTATTTGCTTTCCTTTCCTTTGTGACAACTTGTTTTTTAAGGTGACTGAAAATGTGAGCTTGTTTTTTATTGAAAAAATGTTTTCATACAATTTATTATGATCACAGTTTTCCCTCCCCCAATTCCTCCTTAATCTTTCTCATTTCCCACTCAGTTCCATTCCTTTTCAGCCTCTCTCCCTTTAGGAAACATACGAGTAAATGAAAGAGAAAAAATAAGAGAAACACACATACATAAAACCATAAAACCCTCTAAGTGGAAACCATAGCATATAAGCAAAACACCAGTATGACAAGAATATAAAGATGCCTAAACAAAGCAGTGTGAGACAAAAAGTCCACAAAAATGCCATTGAGTTCATTTTGCGTTGGCCATCTACTACTAAGCATGGGACCCACCCTTAAGTATTCTTAATATACCCAGTGAGACTCAATTGAAGGACACTAGTTTTGCCTTTGTAAGCTGATGTCAATGGGGGAAAGCTGTTTAGTTAGGGATGGAGCCCATGTCCACTCTCCTCCTCAATGCCAGGATCCCATCTGGCTTTAACCTGCCCAGACCCTGTGCATGCCCCCATCATCTCTGTGAGTTCAATGGGGATCCGTCCTGTGTGTCTGGACTCTGTTTACTTGGAGTCATCCATCTGCTCTAGCTCTTAAAATCTTTCCACCTCCTCGTTTACCCTGCGGGCAGTGGTGTGATGAGACACCCCGTTTAGGACTGAATATTCCAAATCTCTCATTCTCACATTGTCCAGTTGTGGGTCTCTGTGTTAGTTCCCATCTATTGAAGAGGAAGCTTCTCTGATGATGACTGTGTGAGGCACTGGCCTATGGGTACAACAGAATGTTGCTAGGAGTTGTTTCATTGCTATGATCCTTTAGCAGAACAACATTATTTGGTTTTACCCTTGGCCCATGCTCTATCCAGTCTCAGGTTCATGGCAAGCTGAGCAGTGTTAGGGTTCCACCTCATGAAGCAGGCTTTAAATTCAATCAGAAAGTGATCCTGCAGGCAGATCATCTTTATAGATCACAGGTTTGTAGCTGGGGTGGTGGTTACCTTTCTCCTCTGGTAGCTTAACAAAGTACCTTTCAGTACCATGAACTTTAGTTAGTAGGGTGGAGTCTAGTCACGCACCAGCTCAACTTCTCTGTATTCACTGAGATATGGAATGTTGTCTTCAACAATAGGGCCTGGCCAGTAGTTTGTGGAGAACAAATAACACACGAGTTTCTAAAATCTTCCATAGGCTGTGTGGTTGTTTTTGCATTTGGAGGCAGAGGCAGGTTGATCTCTGTGGATTGAAGAACAGACTGGCATTCATACAGGTCAGCAGAGTTTGACACTTTCTCTAAAAATAACCAAATAAATGAAATATAGACGTCCCTGATAACATAAAATGGTAAATTTAGAATCCAATGGATATTTGAACATTCTATCATTAAATATTCTTAAAGCAAAGAAAGTTTTGAGGGAGGGAAACACTAAGCAACTATCAGGAGCTTCCCAGACTCTGAATTTCAGTCTGCTTAAGGTTGTCAGGTTAGTCTTGTACCCATTCTCTTGGGTGCTGGCAAAAGACATGGGATTCCTAGGTTAGAGACAAAAGACACCATTGCTCACAGAGAAAAGCGTAGCCAGAATGTCAACATGAAGCTCTTTCTAAGTCCTTCACTTCCAAAGTCCAACGGCATTTCCTAGGGTTCCATAAGAAAGTATCACATACCAAGAAGATTAAACAGATTTTTTTTTTTTTACAGTTCTGGAGGCCAGAAGCCTGAGGTCAAAGTGTTACCATGAATGATTTCCTTCCCTTCCTTCCTTCCTTCCTTCCTTCCTTCCTTCCTCCCTCCCTCCCTCCCTCCCTTCCTTCCCTCCTTTTTATCTTTCTTTCCTTCTGCTTTCTTTTGGTCTTTGGAGCCTGTCCTGGAATTCACTCTGTATACCAGACTAGCCTTGAGTTTCCAGAGTTCCTCCTGTCTCTGCCTCCCTAGCACTGGGATTAAAGGTGTGAACCATCACCACTCAGCCCGTGGTTCAGTTCATTTCTTCTGAGGAAGGTGAGAGAATGATGTGGTCTGGTCTTTTCCATAAGTTTCTAGATGATTATCTTGTCCCTGTCTTTGCTTCATCTTCTCTTTTAGGTCCAAGTTTACTTTGCTAGGACACTAGACATTTTCAGTTCGAGCATCTTTTCAATGACCTCGTCCTCCGAATAGGATCACATTCTAGGGGTAAGGACTTCAATATGTGAATTTTGTTATAAATGACTCTGTATAAGAGATACTTCACAGATCATGAGATGTATCGCAGGGGGAGAACACTGACCTTAGGAGAGTCACCATGGAAACTGGCCTGCTATTGCAGCTCCCTCGTGTCTGTTGGCTGCAAATACAACCCGAGAAAAGCCTAGATAAAGAGAACCAGAGACTTGCATCCTTACTATACCCAGCAAGAACATGCAAGAAAGCTTGGTACCATGTGGACTCTTTCAAAACCTAGGTAGTCAGAATATTGTCAAGATAGTAAAAAAAAAAAAAAAAGATTGTCAGTTTTCTCATTCTTAGAGTGTTTATTAATCCAGGTTCTTGATCTTATAGTTGATCTAGGATCATTAATCTCACTTCACCCACTGTTATCGATATTGAAGGAAGTCCCAAGCCCCAGACTCTCTGTCTCTCTCAATGTCCATACTTTTACATATTTGAACTACACAGTAGGAGATAAATTTAGAACTTAGTCATGTTGTGCGTCTGTTCCAGGGTTTTGTTGGTGGCCAGTTGTGATGTGGGTGCTGGGGATCAGACCCAGGGAGTGTGTTGCTAGGCAGGCTCTCCACCTCCAGCTTCATCGTCTGCTTCCGTCACAGTATAGAAAGTATTTGTAACTTGAAGAGATGTTTTCTTCACCTCTGTGTAGTTGTTTTTATGTCTAAAAACTCAAAATAATATTTTCAGAGTAACTGAATAGAAATTATTTATTTCAACAGATGGAATCACGACTTATATATGTTCTGATTCTACTTTTGAATGTGTTTGAATTTTCATCAGCAGTGATATATAATCAACGTAAGTATCAGACTGATTCCTTTCAAGGAGTTCTTATTCTTATCCTTTCCTGATTTGCAGTTCAAATATTGTCCATTTAATATTTTTGTCAGTATTTTCCCATCGTTTTCATGTGTTATCTATTTACTCTGGCCCAGGTGTCTAGTAATGTCATTGTGAATCCATTGTTATCAAGTTGTATATGCAAAGTTTTTAAAACAATACTTTGTCACTTTCAAGTCATAGAATGTTTACCATTAAAAGCAGATTATACATGGCAAATATTTTATTATTTGAACAGATATAAAATCTTTTCCTTGATGCATGAATTCTCGGGCTACCAAATTGAAAGTAGAATTTCCTGAACAAATACAAAGATAGAATTAGTTCACAAAACTTTAATAATAGAAAAAATTTGTTAAGGAAACATCCATTTCCATAGTGCACACATTTTTGAGATCTTCCTGCATCCTAGAATGCATGATAAAATACAGTGGTGTTTAATAAATGGATATATAGAAGAATTCAGATATTCTATTCCCAAATGTGTTGCAGAATGTGATGAGCTACAAATTGTCCCAGTGTTTAGTTGGAACATTGTAGTAGGGATTTCTGACTTATATGTGGCTAGGAGCCAATATTGGAGAGTCACCGGAGAGAAGTCAGAGAAAAGAGAGATTGTATCTGGCCGTGGAAAAGCAGGTTTTTAAGGCCGGCATTGTATAGAAGAGAACAGTCTGTCTAGGTCCTTAAAGTGGGTTAAATTTGTATATGCACGTATGAGAAAGTGTGTGCTTCAAAGGCAGCATCAGACACACAGTAAACAATAGTTTGGAGGTAGTAAACTGCAGACTATGTGAGGGACGTAGTGCATAGTTCAGTCTGACATGAAAGAAGGAATACAATTAAATTATTCTGAAATACTGGGAGCTGGTACATATAGAAGTGTTTGCATGTGAGGCAAAGAAATGTTGATTTCAAACTCTAATCCTTGGGAGGTACACTGATATGAAAACATAGACAAATTGAAAAATAACACTGGAACAATTACATTGTACAGACAATGTGCAGTAAAAAGTAAATTTATTCTTAGTTCTTACTAAAATCTAATGCTAAGTTTTCCTCTAATTTTGGTCTAAAATTCAGGCCCTTCCTGCAATGTCTTTTTATCTATCTATCTATCTATCTATCTATCTATCTATCCAAACTGCAATACATTTTCTGACTTCCATTATAAAGTTATGTCATGCCTAAAGTATCAAGGCTGGTCTAATTTAGCCCCTCCCTTCCACAATCCAGTGTCTCTAGCAGCTGTCATTCTCTGCTCAGCAGCATCCAGAAAGTTAAAGTCAATAAAGCACCATACAGAATCCAGATGCCCTGTCTAGTTCCCATCTCTACATGGATTTTTATATGTTATTTTATTCTCTTTTCAAAGACTTTATTATTTTAAACTATTCTTTCTATGAATGTCTATTCCCAAGCACCTAAGCACATTTTAAAACATATTGCACCTTTTTAAAAGTTTGCTTTGTCTGTACCTAGCATTACTAAGCATCTGCAGTGTTTTCTGGTCACGTGAGACTAATTTTAAACTGCTACGTCTGTCACCCGGCATAGCTCACCTTAGTGCATTGCCCTGGTGGCTGGTTCCAGCCTGAAGGCAGTCTCTGTACACTGAGCCTATCTGAGAGACCTTGGTCACCAGGAAGACCTGGCAGGAAGCCACATTTGATTCAGTGTTTTGAACTTTTTTTTTAAAAAACTTTCTCAGGCCTTATGTGGATATATGTGGCTGGATATGTACACAGATTTTTTCCTTTGGTCTATCAGCTCACAAAAAAAAATGACATGGAAACTTATTATTAATTATGAAAGCTTAACCTTAGCTTAGGCTTGTTCCTAACTAGTTCTTATAACTTGAATTAAGTCATACCTTTTAATCCACATTCTTCTTTTGCTGCCAATAGCCATTAAGATACTGGCCCACTTTGGGCATGGTCACATGTACTATAATACGCATATGTAAAAGTGTGGGGCGGGGAGGGGTGCCTTGCGGCTGGATTCAGTTCTAGCTTCCTGCTCATGCAGAGGACTGCTGATCTCTGAGTCTACCCCTAAATAAAGAAATTTTTATTATACTCCATTCTGGACTAGTGTGGGATTATTTTATTATAAACTGCAACATTTTTTTTTTTTGAGACAGGGTTTCTCTGTGTTTCAGTCCTGGCTGCCCTGAAACTCGCTTTGTAGACTAGGCTGGTTTTGAACACACACAGATCCACCTGCATCTGCCTCCCAAGTATTGAGATGAAAGGCGTGTGCCACAACTACCAGACTTTTCATGTAAGTCTTTTTAGCTTGACCGATTTTTGTTGTTTTTGTTTTTTAGGTGATAATGAGAAACACTTTGTTTGCTCCAGTGACCAGTTACCCGGTGACCAGAAAATAATCAAGTTGTATCTTTCCACTGACAGTTTGGTAAAGTCTACTAACTGTATGTACTATAGCTCTTTGGTCCCTTTAAAGGCCAGGTTTAGAAGCAGTGACACTGCAGTCTCTCAAGTGTCTTCTCCTGTCCAGACAGGAAGGTGAGATTCTATGGAATTGTGTCTGTAGTTGGATAGGGTAGTATATTTTTAGCCATTGAGAATCCTGGGTAGCCATGCTCTGTGGGTGTTGTTAGGAAATGATGCCCACCTCTCTTTTCTCGACCACCTACAACAATCTTCATCTGATATGGAACCAATTTGTTCTTTTGAAGTTTGACAAAGTAGCCTGTCAGAGAAACGTACCTCACATGATCGTAGGAAAGAAATAGTCCTTGTATAATAGGGACCGTGCTAGGGTTGTCATTTGTGTAAGGGGTGGTGTGACCTTTCTGTAGAAGACCAGCTTCGACAAAATTCATACATTCTGGGGTAGGAGCGTGAGTTTTAGAATTATTAAGCAAAAGGAAGAGAGATATGAGAGAAGAGACAGAAACACAGAACAGCCTCGGGAGGGAAGTTCAGTGAATACTGAATTTGCCTCCCCCGCCCCTACCTGCTTATATACTTAACTCCAAAAGGGAGTGGGAAGGCACCAGATTTCAATAACATGATATAAGCAATAGACTTTATTCTTTGATCTTTTGTCCAGGTGGAGCGGATCCGAGGAGATCCATCTCTATGCTCCAATCACTAATTAACCACACCCTTGCTCAGACTCTCTCGTTTGTAGCCATGTCTGTTGTCGACAACTTTGAGAGAGCAAAAATAAGCTCAAACTCTGTGACCTCCAGTCAAGGTGGAACAGGCTCACAACTCTGTGACCTCCAGTCAAGGTGGAACAGGCTCACAACTCTGTGACCTCCAGTCAAGGTGGAACAGGCTCACAACTCTGTGACCTCAAGTCAAGGTGGAACAGGCTCACAACTCTGTGACCTCCAGTCAAGGTGGAACAGGCTCACAACTCTGTGACCTCCAGTCAAGGTGGAACAGGCTCACAACTCTGTGACCTCCAGTCAAGGTGGAACAGGCTCACAACTCTGTGACCTCCAGTCAAGGTGGCATAGGCTCACAACTCTGTGACCTCCAGTCAAGGTGGCACAGGCTCACAACTCTGTGACCTCCAGTCAAGGTGGAACAGGCTCACAACTCTGTGGGCCCTCATACCTTTGCATTCAAGCGATGGGAGACTTTTCAGCAGTCAAACAACAAAATAAAACAAAGCAGAACATTAAAATAGTCACGGGCTACTACCATGTATAACGGCTTAGTGAAAGAGAGCTTGTCGATCGTGCTTGAATCCTTGGGCTCGATATGAATGCACACATGCACACACACATGAACATGCACACGCATACATGTCCACACACATGAACATGCACACACGCATGCACACACACAATGGAAAATTCAGAGAGCAACTGCTAGCAAAAACAGGTGTTAAAAAAACCACGCAGATTATCCAAAATTAGATGACAAATACAATAAAAACACAGAATAACATTCCACCAAGACACATAATTTACTCCTAAGTCCCCTTTAACTTGGTCCCTAATTTCTGCTTGACGTACCAAATAAACACTTAGTTTAAGTTTTGAATTTATAACTCTTGAGAAGCCTGTGCCCTTTTTTTGGTTGTGATTTTGTACTATAGGAAAGGGAAGGCATACTTACATACAAAGCTGGGGTCAATTCTTGGGTCTGCTGTTTATGGCTGTATGCCCTGACACAGATTACTTAACACTTTGGTTTCAGTTTTTCTATTTTAAAAATTATTTGTAGAATTTTTTATTTTATTTGTATGGATGTTTTGCCTGCATCTCCATATGTGTGCTACATAGATGCACGTGTGTGTGTGTGTGTGTGTGTGTGTGTGTGTGTGTGCGTGCCCATACAAGATGCCTATGCAGGCCAGAAGAGAGCATCTAGTAGTTGGAGTTAGAGTTGTTGCTACAATGTGGGTTCTAGGAATTAAACAAAAGTCCCGTGGAAGAGCAACAAGGCTCTTAAGTGCTGAGCCATCTCTAGTTTCTATTTCTAGTTTTAAATTAGCATTCTAACCAATTTGTACATAGTCATAGTGAAGTACTTGTCACCTTGGCATTATTTCAATCATTACTTACATTTTTAGTGTTTGTATTACAATCAAAGTGTTCTGTGTTCATTATGAAACTTGATCTTCATGCATGACCTTTCCCAAGGGAACTCTTTTGCTCTGAGGACTCTGATAAAAATAAGACTTCCCGGGGGCTGGAGAGATGGCTCAGAGGTTAAGAGCATTGCCTGCTCTTCCAAAGGTCCTGAGTTCAATTCCCAGCAACCACATGGTGGCTCACAACCATCTGTAATGGGGTCTGGTGCCCTCTTCTGGCCTGCAGGCATACACACAGACAGAATATTGTATACATAACAAATAAATAAATATTTAAAAAAAAAAAAAAAAAATAAGACTTCCCAGGGACTTGGGGAATCAGGAGAATTGGGATAAAGGAAAGGTGGATAGGGGAGCACGGAACCACAATTCTTAGTTAAGGGAACCACTTTAGGGTGGGCAAGAGATTTGACCCTAGAGGGGCTCCCAAGTGCCCAACATGAGGTTCCCAGTTAGTTCCTTGGGCAGCTGAGGATTGGGAACCTGAAATGACCCTATCCTAGAGCAATACTGACGAATATCTTGCATATCATCATAGAACCTTCATCTGGTGATGGATAGAGATAGAGACAGAGACCCACACATGAGCACTGGACTGAACTCCCAAGGTCCCAATGAGGAGCAGAAGGAGGGAGAACATGAGCAAAGAAGTCGGGACCACGAGGCGTGCACCCACCCACTGAGACAGTGGAGCTGATCTACTGGGAGCTCACCAAGGCCAGCTGGACTGTGACCGAAAAAGCATGGGATAAAACCGGACTCTCTGAACATGGCGAACAATGAGGGCTGATGAGACGCCAAGGACAATGGGACGGGGTTTTGATCCTACTTAATGTGCTGGCTTTGTGGAAGCCTAGCCAGTTTGGATGTTCACCTTCCTAGATATGGACGGAGTGGGGAGGACCTAGGACTTACCACAGGGCAGGGAACCCGGACTGCTCTGTGGACTGGAGAGGGAGCGGGAGAGGAGTGGGGGGAGGGGGAGAAGGGTGGGAGGAGGGGGAGAAGGGTGGGAGGAGGGGGAGGGAAATGGGAGGCTGGGAGGAGGTGGAAACTTGTTTTTTGTTTATGTTTTTTTTTCTTCTTTTCTTAATAAAAAAAATTATAATCACAAAAAAAAAGAAAAAAAAATAAGACTTCCCAGACCAGACTAGACCAGTAAGCTGTCTGGTAAGGAAAGGCAGCTACCAAGCCTGATGGCCTGAGTTCGATTAACGGGTCCCACATGGTGGACAGAACTGAAGGTCTCACATGCATGCTGTGGCATAGGTGCTCATACATGCATGTGTAGACAAGCCCACCCCACCACAATAAAATTTTAATTAATGTTTTAAAATCAGACTTTATCAACACCTCTGTTCCAACTCTCCCTTCACTATTTTATTCTATAGTTGATGCTATATTTATTCTTTTGGTCTGTCTTTCCCTCCATCCATCTACAAATTTACTCACTACTCCAGCCAACAAGTTTGTCTTCCTGACACCCCTCACTAGACTGTAAATTCTGCAGTGGCTGGGAGTTTGTCAGTTTTACTCACTTCCATATTTCAAACACTTTCCACTCTGCCCAACTTATACTAGATATTTTTAACGTTGTTGTCAAGGCCTACTCCTTTATTTCCATTATTTAGGCAGGATTGGGGTCTTCCACTTAGCTCAGAATAGCCTGGGATTCAGTATTCTTCTGCCTCGGCCTACTAAGCAGTAGAGTTACAGGTGTGCACCTCTGGGCTGTGTCCCGTGTTTTAAGGTAGAGAACCTGAAACGTAGCAAATTCCCAAAGTATTCTTTTCACTTTCACAAAGGATTCATAAGATTCACTTATTTTATTTTCTGTGCATGCCTGTTTTCACTACATGTATGCATGTGTCTCATGTATAAGAACGGTGCTTAGAGAGGTCAGAGGAGGGTGTTCGATCCCCATAACCATAGTTACAAACTGTTGTGGACAACCATGTGTATGCTGTGAATGGAACTCGGGTTCTCGGCATGAGGAGTTCCTAACCTCTAAGCATCTCACGAGTCCAAGACAAAGTTATTTTTTTAATTTTTAAAATTTTTAATTGATTTTATTGTGTTCTACATTTTTCTCTACTCTCCTCCCTGCCTCTCCCCTCCCCTTCTACCCTCTCCCATGGTCTCCATGCTCCCAATTTACTCAGGAGATCTTGTCTTTCTACTTCCCAATAGATTAGATCCATGTCTGTCTCTCTTAGGGTCCTCATTGTTGTCTAGGCTCCTTGGGATTGCGCATTGTAGGGTAGTTTTCTTTGCTTTATGACTAAAAGCCAATTATGAGTGAGTACATATGATATTTGTCTTTCTGGGTCTGGGTTACCACACTCAATATGATGTTTTCTAGCTCCATTTGCCTACAGAATTAAAAATGTCATTATTTTTCTCTGCTGTGTAGTACTCCATTGTGCAAATGTATCACATTTTCCTTCTCCATTCTTTTATTGAAGGGAATTTAGGTTGTTTCCAGGTTCTGGCTATGACAAACAATGCTGCTATGAACATAGTTGAGCACATGTCTTTGTGGCACGATTGAGCATCCTTTGGATATATACCCAAAAGTGGTATTACTGGGTCTTGAGGAAGGTTGTTTCCTAATTTTCTGAGAAATCACCACACTGACATCCAAAGGGGTTGTACCAGCTTGCATTTCCACCAGCAATGCAGAAGTGTTCCCCTTTCCCCACAACCTCTCGAGCATAAGTTGTCATCAGTGTTTTTGATCTTGGCCATTCTTTCAGGTGTAAGATGGAATCTCAGAGTTGTTTTGATTTGCATTCCTCTGATCACTAAGGATGTTGAACATTTCCTTAAGTGTCTTACAG